GACTTATGGCAACCCTAAGGCTAACCTGTCATGGGGTTTTCTTGGCAAGAGTTGTTCAGAAGAGGTTTGCCATTGCTTTCCCCTGAGGCTGAGAGAGTGTGACTTTTCCAGTAGGTTTCATGACCAAGCTGGGAATCAAACCCTGATCTCCAGATTTGCAATCCAGCACTCAAACCACTATGCCACACTAGTTCTCACAAAATGGGCATAGCACCTCTAAAACAACAATAGCAAAACAAAGTAAGCAAAAATATGTCCTTCAGAAAGTAAAAAAAAATACTCCCCCCCCAGGCAACTCCTTGACCCAATATACCCAATAAGAACCACGTCTTAAAACTCACCACTTATAAATAATACAATAACACAGGTTCTTGTATCACCTACTACATTCTGGGTATCAGGCAGGCTAAAATGTTAGGTAAAAAGTAATGTAATGGGAACAACACAGTTGCTGAAATCCAATTGGAACCTTATGTCTTTGTAAGTGGACATACATCTGCAGGAAGTGGCGTAATGTTCATGTCCAGTAGAGCTGCTGTTATGTTATTAGAAGCAGAGCTGGAAAAATGTCCAAAGCATATTGGTTCCCAAAGCGCATCGGTGTGCAATGCAACCAGAGCCAGCTGCTTGATGTGCACTGATGTGCATCACTCATTCAGGTACATCATGCTGTGATGTACATTGTATACCAATGCCATTGCACAGTGATGTATATCGAGCATGATATCCATTGGTCATGATGGATATCAATAGTTCTTGCTGATGTCCCATTATGCATGTTTAAAATTTAATAAAGGGAGTTCTTAGTGCCTCTGCTATGCAGCTAGGTTTATGTAAAGTTACATAATATAGCAGGTCATATAGGATTCCAGCATATATGTGTGTATGTGTGTGTGTGTGCATGTGGGTGTGTGCGCATGTGCATGTGTCTGCATCTGTCTGGCCACCCACCTGTCAGTCAGTCTGTCTCTCCCTGGTTTATGAGTAGGGATGCAAGTCTTCACTTCTTCTTGAAGAAAGCAAAAATTACTTTGTTTTCTTCCTGTTGCGAGAAAGTCTTCAAAAACCATACAGTTTTCAAAGCCAGTTAGCAATCCAGGCCTTATCCTGTAGAAATTCATATGCAGTTGTTTTCACAGAAACAGTGTTTTCTGTGGAGAAAATAATATTTCTCAACATAAATATTTCTGCATTATTTCTCAATATTTCTACACAGAAATATTATTTCCTGCACAGAAAGCGCTGTTTCATGAGCAGAAAATGTTGTTTTCCATGCAAATCAAACATGTGTGAATTTTGCATAAAATTAATACCAATTGCAACATTTTTTTGCACAGAAAACAACATTTGTTGTGCAGGAAATAATATTTCTGTGTAGAAGTATTATTTTATTTGCAGAAAATTCTGCTTCCTACATAGGAAAATTCTGTTTTTGTGCAAAACCAACAATGTGTGCTTTTTTGTGCAGAATAAGTCCTGAATTGCAAAAATTCTTGTCAGTCTACAATTCTTCTCAGAGTTTCTCAGGGTTCCCTGCATCTTCCCTGATATATCCCCATAACTACCACTGCAGTCAAGAATGGCAACTTTCACCATCCACTGATGGTGGACCTTCTCCATCTGTAGAAAGTTCCAGCACAAGAAATATAAATCCATAAATCTAATAGCTCTTCAATCAATATGTAGGATTGCTCTACTAAGAAAATAACAGATGTGAGTTTATTTTTACTTTACTTTTAATTCAATTTGATTTAATATGTTTTGATTTATATCACACCATTCTCCCAATATGGAACCCAAGGCAGCTTATTTTTAGAAGTTAATACTACACATTATTTACCCCAAATTTTCTTCTTCTTTTCCTTTTGCCTCTGAATTTACAGTCTGAGGATTCTAAAATCCAGTCAGAAATTAAGGAAACATGAAAGTTGTAGTGATAAAAATGTTCACTCTTTTCTCTGTTTTGAACTTACTGCAAATTAACTTCACTGAGTGCAAGATAATGAGAACAAAAGCCACCTTTCATAGCTTAGAAAAAAGATGGAGAATGGATACAAAGGCTTAGAAAAAAGATGGAGAATATAATTCAAAGGCTTCCTTTCCATCTTATAATACTGGAAAGGTGGCGGGGAATGTATATTCTTCCAGACATTGTTGGACTGCAGCTTCCATCACCTAATGGCTAAGAATAATTGGAGCTGCAGTCCAACACCATCTAAAGGACCACTGATTTCTTATCCTGTCCAATGAAAATGTCAATAGGGTTGGTGTCACCTGGTGTGGTAACTCATGATGTCACCCTCCATACCACTCTGTACTGAATCCTTAGTAATGCTTTTTGTACTAAATCTCTGCATAAATTGGAAAATCCACTTTGAGTTCAGTTCCTCCAGCAGCTCCTCTGGTCTGTATGGAGATTGGGTGTGTGTGTCTCCTGGCACTGAACCTTTGGCTGGAAGAGGGTCCAGGACCTGTATGGTTCCCATATAATCCAGAGCAGGTATGGAAAGAGTGGTCCTAAAACCAATTATGGATTGGCCACCCCTAGTGAAGCTCTGCCAGCTTTATCTGTGAATGGCAGAAACATGTGAACCACAGTTGAATATGGGTGTGCCCCATCCAATTTGTCTCTTTGGCCGTGCAAGTCAATTTTCACCTAAGTCCTATAGGGACTGATCTGAATGCCCCGATAGCTAAATGGGTGATGGGAGTATGCATGAAAGCCCCACTCCTCAAGTGATCCCATGTATATTTTCTTCCAGGATCCCAGAGCAGCTAGATCTTCATGTTCTCAGTCATTCCCTCATTCCCTCCTCTTCCCACTGTTAGAGAGAGCAGAAGGGTCCCCTCTCAGAGCTTGATGGCTTCTATTGTTGTTGTAGCTTGACAATGACTATATTATTATTATTATTATTATTATTATTATTATTATTATT